CTCCTTCCTTGGGTCCCTGAGCCTGCTGCAGCCTGGCCACATTCACCTTCCCTTCTGCAAATGCCTTGTAGCATAGGATGCCGGCATGCAGAGCCAACCGTAGGAGGATGCGGGGCCCCTTTAACAGTGCACGGGGCCATGGGACCCCCAGAAAGGCAGGGCACAGCAGTGCCATAGCAATGAAACGGTGCCTGGGGCCAAGCAGATCCTGCACACCTCAGAATAGCCGCTCTACAGCAGACACAAAGCAGGTGGCGCATGGCAGCTGGGGGGGAGGGGAGCCAGACGTTTCCTCCACAGCATGGGGCTCAGCCACCAGCTCCAGGGGGGCCCCACGGGAGGGACCACAGCCACTCCTCCAAGCTCCACAGGGCTCCCCAAAGCACAGGGTCCAGGGCGGTCGCCCTGATTCGCCCTACCCAAGGGATGATTCTGCCAGCATGGCCACTAGGGACAGCTTCCCTCCCCACAAGGTCCAATGACAGCCTTGCCAGTCCAACATGCATACATCTGAATCTTGAGACGCAGTGCCTGTGACCCACCACAGCCCTTCTCACTCGTTCCCTGTGGTTTAATTAGCTTTGTCTCAAAACAGTTCTCTGATGGAGCTGCCCAAGGAGCAACACACCCGCACGCCCTTCCCCACCTCTCCCCGTTCTGTGCACAGGTTTCTGCCTAAATGACTTCTGTCCCTCCATCTGCAGAAAGACATTATCCCTCCTTTCCCACTCCAGCAGCAGGGGAACAGTACAGGAAGTGGGGAAAGTGAGTCACAGGCTTCCTAGTTCTGTCCCTCCACTGCCTTGAGCCACCCAGGGACTGGTGACTGCCAAGGGCTCAGGTCCCAGATGCAGATCAGATACAATGCTGTGTGGGAAAGGGGTAGCAGAGGAAAGGAGCTGCTCCCAGGCACCTCTGGTTGGACAGGGGAAGAGAAAGCCCCAGTAGAGAGCAGATGAGATCCCCAAGGCACAGGCTGCTTCCCAGAGGCCAGGGAGCAAGAGCAATCACAGTGCAGTAGTGGCTGCCAGTGGTGGGGTGGGCAGGGTCTTGCCCAGTCTCAGGACACCTGTATTTTACTCAGGGAGGAGGGAGAGGGCAGAAGAGGCAGGATCTCAGGGAGAAGCATGTGGACTAGGCACAGCCAGGGCAGGAGCCAGGACTCCTGGGTCCTATCTATAGTTTGGGTGCTGAATCACACTGTAATCTCAGGCCAGCCCATGCCTACCTGTCCAGTGGGGATGGAGAATGGCACTTGTCCACTGTACTGGAGCAAGGGCTATAAGGAGCCTTGTAACACTGGGAGTGCCCTGTGCTTGGGCCCTGCAACACCCTCTGTTGGCTGATGAGCTGATAAGGGTGGCAGAGAGATCAGGGCTGAGCTTCTGTGTCAACCACCCTGTTTCTCTTCTGGACCAGAGTCAGGCTACCCTCTAGCACAGGGTTGGGCAAAATACAGCCCTCTAGGCCATTCTATCCGGCCCGCAGGGCCCCTAAAAGATTTAGAAAATTAATATTCGTTTGCTCCTGGCTGCCTGTCATGTGGCCCTGGATGGCTTGCCAAAACTCTGTAAGTGGCCCTCTGCCCGAAATAATTGCCCACCCCTGGTCTAGTAGCTGCTGAGTTACCAGGAATGGGGAAGGGCTGGGACTTGGCCTCATGGCTGGGCCCATAGGGGCTCCACCCGCAGCCAGAGCCCATTTTCAGTGCGCAGGATCAGCGCAGGCTTGCGCCGCATGGGCCTGTTCTCATCCAGCCGCAAAGCAAAACGCAGCAGCGTCAGCCCCAGCACCACCTTCATCTCTGCCACTGCAAAGTTCTGCTCAATGCAGTTCCTGTGGGGAAATGGGTAGAAAGGTTAGAAGGAGCTACCCAGTGCATGCCCCGGGACCAGGCTGGAAATCCCAACCCAAAGAGGGATGAGAGGGATTGTCACTGTCAGGGTCTGTGCTGCACTGCGCAGGTAGAGCAGGGATGGACAGATGCCAGGAGCTTGAACAGACACACACCCTGACCAGTCCCCCTCTCAAGGGACCTCACAGGTCATATGGACAGATGCAGGAAGGCTATTCCTAAACCACCCCTGACCAAGGCTTATCCAACCTTCTCTGGGACATTTCCAATGAAAGGGATTCTACCACACCCCTGGGCAGGCTGTCACCACCTGGCTGTTCTAGTAGTAAGGAAGCTTTTCCTGGGCAGGTCTATATGAGATGTTTATTGCAGAGGTGACTAATTAGCTCCGCAGTGAAGTCTCGGTGTCTATATGCGCAGTGCTATTAGGACAGTATACTAATTCTGCTGTATGTTAATACTTGTCAACACAAGTACTATCCTATGGCAGAATCATTTGTTCTGCTGCAATGCACATGTAGACACTGACGGGGCTGGCTGGAGCACGTGGGTGCTTCAGTGTGGGGGCTGCCTGCCAGCTAGCCCCATACTCCCAGGTGGAGGGAGAAAATATTATGCGGGGGGTGAGGCTGAGCACACCCGACCACCACACACACAGCCCAGCAGGTAAGTCTCAGGAGGGAAGGGGCATGGGGGGGAGGACCAGATTGAGGCCCCTACAGCGAGGGAGGGAGTGGGACAGAGGCTGGGGTGAATGGGGCTGGTCAGAACCCAGGCAGCTCATCCAGGGGCACAGGGGGGCTCCCACCATTGCATGCGTCCCAGAGAAGTCACAAGGGGCACGAACCATTTGCGCACCACCACCGGCTGGGCGGGGGACATGGCACAGCCCAGCAGCGGAATACACATGGCATCTTGTGGCTCTCAAGGCAGTGGCAGTGAAGCGCAGAGCCCAACGTGCAGTAGCAGCCCACCTCCACCCCACACTCAAATCCAGGAGGCATGTGCCCCATCCCCACCTTCCCTGGGGCTTGCGCAGTGGCAGGAGCCCCATGCATCACTGGATGAGCCTCCTGGGTTCTGACTGGCCTACTACCTGCCCTGGGGCCCTGTTGCACAAACGGCTAGTTTCGTGCCCCTGGAGGCTTGTCCAATCCACCTCTAGGAGAGAGTCTCACACACAGGCTGGGTCTAATTTTAGATTTATTGTTTGCAAACAAGTTCGACAAGGGAGCTTAATTTACTCAAATCCGTGTCGACCCCAAACAGAGTCTGGGGTTCCTTTTTATAGCTAACATAAACAAAAGATTCTAACGTGTCGCGTAATTATTGGTAGCCCAAGTATTACGTCTTACAACATATGTCTAGCAGGTACATGTTCTATGATGGTTTACATACATGTCTCATTTACATCTTAAATCTCCTCCCTGGGGCCGTCCTTAAGTCCATTTCGGTCATTCTTTGGTCAAGGTCTGAGTTCTTTACATCAGCACCTTTCCCTGTGCCTCTTCTCTTATCTCTCGTAAGGAGTTATTTGTTGCATCTGTTCCTGGCTATGTCTGCAGAAGTCTAGTGCTACTCGTAAATCTATCATTGGCCTACATACCTTAGCAGAAGCAAGTGTGATAATATGCAGAAGCAATTATGTAGTGAAACTAAACAGTTCTCAGCTGTGAAGCCTTTGTGTAGGGGGATGAGACATTTTTTTACCACACAGCTGCTACACAAACGTTATTGCAAAATCATAATGACTAGATTATAACATATTTTTACCACAGCCCCATTCACTCCTGCCCCTGCCTCTGCCCCACTCCCTCCCTCACTGTGGGGCCTCGATCTGCCCCCCCACCTGCCCCTTCCACTTCACAGACTCATCTGCTGTGCTCCACAGCTTCTGGGCTGTGATCCTGGCTGGTTGCCGGCTGCAGCTGCATATATGAGTCTGTGCATGCCCCTACCCCGCTACAGCCACTCAGAGTCCACACCCGGGCTGCCTTGTGGCCCTTTGTGCTGCCACTGCTGCCCCACATTCAGGGGCGGGGCGGCTAAGCCCTGTTAGCCCCGGCCTTCTGCCTCCTATGCCCACACTGGAGCACCCTTGTGTCCCAGCCAGCTCCTCCACAGCACATTGAGCCGGGTCAGAGAAGCCTCAAGCTGGCAGGCTGAGCCTCAGGCACCACTGCCAGCTGGGCTGCTCCATCCCAGCTCAACATGCTACAGTCCAAGGCACACATGTAAATGTGGTGCCTGGGAGCACTAAACTCTGGTGCAAACTGTGCTGGAGTTTATTCAATTTCATTAACAGCACAGGTAGACATGCCCCTGTGATCTAATCTAAACCTGCTTTGCTGCAATTTAAAACCATTGTTCTGTGTCCTACGTTCTGTGGCAAGGAAGAACAAACATTCTCCTCCTTTACAGCAGCCTTTCAGATATACGAAGACTGCTGTCATGCTCCTCCTCAGTCGCCTTTTCTCCCAGTTAAACTTATCTAAATCTCTCAACTAGCTGACCCCAGGACTGTCCAGACATAGGCCACCTCTTCCCCTCAGACCAGGTTACCTGGGTCCAGCAGAGAAAGGCACAAAGGCCTAAGGGGACCAGTTCTGGGAGTTCTCTGGGTTGAACCACTGTGGGTTGTAAACCTGGGCAGCAAGCATAGGACATGTAGGGGGAAATGGAGTGCAGAAAGTAGTGCTGGACCCTCCCAATAAGTGCCATGTGGTACCCGTGGGAGTGGTTCTGCCTCCACGTGGTGCTCAGGCACTACCTACGGCCCAGTATCCCCAACCCTGCCCACAGCATCACAGGCCTTTAGGCTTCCCAGACAGGGGCATGGGCCCGGATAGAAATGCAACCACCTCTGTGGAGGGGAGCGGCAGCTGCCTTAGAGCAGCGGGTGAAGGAGATGGCAGCTAGGTGGCACTGCTGAGAGGGGATGGTAAAATTACCAGGTCTGGAAGGTGGTCAGGACCCCCATGCTCAAGCCCTTAGCCAGATGCCCCAGGGTCTGTAACAGTCACAGGGACCAGGCCTTTAGGTAGCAGCACAGCAGCCCCTAGTGCTGTCCTGGGGCACTGGATCCATCACTGACTAAGTGCAAAGGAACCAGGAGCCAGCTTAAGTGATCAGCTGTAACTCAGGATCAGGCCAGACGGTTGGATTGTGATGGGTCCCGAAAATGTTCATCAGACAGGTGTTCCCTGCCAGAGAGGAAGCCACCTGGTTAGAGGGGAAGGAAGCAAGAGGGGAGGGACAATGGAAAGATTTGAAAGGCTCAGCTCCCCAAGTCATGGTTGGGGGTGGGAGGGGAATGAGCTGAGGTATGTTAGATTTACTACAGTGTGGGGTGGGCTCAGCTGTCATGCTTTGTCCCCACCTGGACTTGGATGAAGCCCGGTACCTTTGGGGATGATGTGTCCGTCGGGCAGTTTGATATCCTCAGTGCAGCGCCGGGAAGTGACAGTCACAGGCGGATGCAGGCGCAGCCTCTCCTTGATGCACATGGTGGTGAACAGCATCTGGCACAGGTCCTCCCTGTGGGGGGCAAAGCATCAGTGACAGCAGGGGGGCCAGGATGGGGAGCAGGCAGCAAGGGCAGGAAGAGCCAGGCAGTGGGCAGATCAAGGGGTGCCTGGGGGACTTGGGGGGCCAAGGACACTGTACAGAGCGGGGCCAGGCAGACAAGCTAGGAGTCTAAGGTGAACACATGACCAGCCCCATCTCACACACTGACGGATGGAGATGACCTGGAACTACTAAAAGCCATGTAGTGAAGGGGGTGGGGGCATTGATCAGTCCCCACTGCAAAGGCTGCCTCACCATTCAAGCTCCTCTGACACCCTGCCCTTCATCAGCTCTTGGATCTCCTCCCAACATTGCTGCTGGTACTTAGGGTGGTGTGCCAAGTTGTACAGCACCCAGGAGTGCTGGCTGCTGGCTGCTGGCTGTGGTATCATGGCCTGAAGAAAAGGGTACAGACAAGGTGAGCACTGCTGTGTGTAAGCTGCTAGCAAGGTCAGTAACAGAAACACCACAATGACATTGGCAGACTGTGAACTGAGCCTAATTTATGGATAGTATGTGATGGAAGTTGTATAGCTATAAGTGCTCAGCATATAATCCATAAATTGTAGTAGCCTGGAAAGCAGACTAAGACTGTTAGCCGAGGCCATTAGTATTGGGCTAGACCAGGTGAGGATAACAGACATTTGCTAAAAGCTGCAGAAGTGTAGCTAAAGCAGAGAGCCCTATTCCTGTTTCAGAGGGGACTTCTGCCACCATTACAACTCATCTGGTCAGCAAAGTGAAAGAAATAGGATATGGAAAGTAGGATTCCCAGATGGTGAGGGAAGGAGATAAGAAATCCTCCCTTCCAGAATGGCAAGCTTCACAAGGATCACAGGGAAGCCAGTTCCCAAAGTGTCAGTGAAACAAAGAAATCTGAACAAAAGCAATCAGAAAATGCTTCCTAAAATAAGCCATATATAGATATTAAGCATAAACTAGAGGGAAATTTGGAAACCTCAGCAAATTTGAAACAACTTGCTGCCAGTCTGCATGCCACCCTCCTGAGTTTCTCCGCTCCAGCTGGTAAAAGGGAGACTCTGCAGGTGGCTAGACAGGCACAGGTGTTTGTTCTTCTACTTTGAGGTGTAAGCAATAGAAGGTTGGGCTAAAGACCTGTCTCTTTCCTCTTTTATCACTAACCTGACTTGTATGGTACTAATCTCCTGTGTGCTAAAGGGAACTGTAAGTGTCCCTCATCTCTCTTTATAAACTTACAAAAAGGGTCCTGACCACAGACAGGCTGCTGTCTTGTCCCTCTAAAAGCCAAATGTTCCCGAGTTTGTGCTAACATCTGGGACAGGCTGGGGAGTGGAGAAGTGCAACAGGGAGTCCATCACTGTTACTCAACCCTGCCAAAGCCCAGTGCTGCTACCCTGGGGCACAGCTCCTGGGCCTGTCAGGCAGCTCCAGGACTCCAGAGCCCTGTGCAGAAAGTGGGGAGCATTGCCCATCTCAGCAGCCCAGAGCTGAGATGGTCCCACAGCTCTTGGGGGTGGGAAGGAAACTGCTCTTATCCACCGCACAGAGGGGAAATGGCAGACCCACACAGCCAGGGGTCAAGTCTGGATCTGAGGTCTACAGGGGCCCTTCCCCTTCCATTGCCATCCCCTCCCCTCATAGGGCACTTCCTCACCCTCAGACACGAAGGTGTTGGCCTCTGCCATGATGTCCCCATCTGACAGCTCCTGGCTGTCCACATCCTGCAACAGAGCATGTGTGAGCTGGGGCAAGCAGCATGGCCCTGGCTGCGCTCTCCACCAGGTGCCAGGGGAAAAAAGAACCTGGTGCAGAGACATTATATTTCAAGTGGGAGAAAGGGCAGAGGGACCTAAAAGAGACATCCTCTCTGCTGGCCAAGAGCATGTGGGTGATTCCAGGCCCATCACATGGCCCTGCTCTGCTGTTCCCATAGAGGAGCCTGGTACAGGATTAGTATTTGCCCAGAGGACACCAGACCCATCACCCCAAGTGCTGTTCATGCCCCTCTATATTGAGCATGCCAGGAAAGCGGCACTGGCTGGGACACCCCAAACAGTCTCTGAGGGTGGAGGCTTGAGTCCTGCTGTGACAAATCACAGGCTATGGGGATTAGCCCTACAAGGACCAGCCCTGCCCCAAGGGCCCAACCCCAGTGCAGCACTATGGCCAGCAGAAGTCCACAGTCTTGCCCTGCTTGGCCTGGAGCCAGGCCTCCCTGCCCATGCGATCCAGAGCCAGGTGGCACTGCTGCACCATGTCAGCCATGAAACGATGCACAGTGTCGCAAGCACGCCGGAGGCGCTGCCCGTCGGCTGTGAAGTGGTAGAGGCAGTCGAGGTAGAACAGTGGGCAGTCTTGGCGTATCGCCACCAGGTTACTGAGCTCCAGGATGGCTGCAATGTACTCGCTGGGCTTTCTGGAAGGAAACGTGGGGGCACATGATTGACCGGCCAGGGCAGGGGACACACCACAGTCAGAGCAGGCAAGAGGAGAGGAGACCCGAGATAAAGTCTGGTCTCTAGGCTGTCATCCTGCTTCCAAGTGACTCCAATAAGGGACTTCCTGCACCCCCAGCTCTTCCTCCCTTCTTTCCGGGACCACCCCAGGGCTGCAGGGAAGTTGTGGACACAATGGTCTCTCACTCCTGGCAGTTGCTGCTGTGGCTGAAGACACATTTCTGCAGGCTGTCCAGGGTCATGAGGCTGATTTGCTCAAACATTTCCAGGAAAGGGGAGCCCAACAACACCAGCTGCTGCCACTTGTCCTGCAGGGGAATGGTGCCCATGAGTGCTGTGCCCAGTAACTGCCCTCAGAGATGTCCCACACACCTGACTCACACACTGCAGGTGAGGGCATCTGACAGACGGGTACAGAAAAACCAGGAAAGGGTGGAAAGAGCCTTGCTGTGGGGGCTATACTACAAGTCCTAGGGACAAAGGTTCAGGGCTGAGTAGAGGGCAGGGGATAAGCATTCACCTCAGCTGGAGGGCTCAGAGATGACAGTGCAGGTGGGCAGCAGGACAGGGTGCTGGTGCAGTGATGGTGTAGCAGGGTTCAGGTACAGGGGTGGGGCACTCACGTGCATGATGTCGGTGCTCTGGTTAAAGATCTTCACATAAGGCTTCTGGATGTCGAAGTGAAAGGCTGGCATCAGCATGCGCCGGTGCCGTCCCCACCTCTGCCCATTGCTCAGCAGCAGACCCTCCCCTGCAATGACAAGCACTCAGCTTACAGCCTGGACAGCCTCCTCCAAAATCCTGCGTCCCAACCCAGAGCAGCCCAGGAGCTGGGTGCTCAGCAAACACCTCCCCAGTGCATACTGGGGCAGGCACAAGAGTGCATGCATGGGCCCCTGCATGAGCATACAGGGGGCATGCATGTGTTTGTGTGTGTGGCAGCCAGCATGCAGACATGCCTGTGTGCTTACATTTATGTGCCTGTAGGTGAGTGTGTGCATAAAGCTGCATGCATAGTCTTTACACCATGTGAATGTGACCAGTCACTGTTACTCATAGCCTTGACCTAACATCTCCTGATCCCCCAGAAGGTTCAGACCCAGGCCCTGGGGGCTCAAAGGTAAATAAATCATGACCACCCCCGCAAATTCAAGGTCATGTTGAAGGGGCCTGACTGCTCTGCTGCAGGGTCCAGAAGCTGCACTAGACCTCACAATGCTAACCCCCTCCTTCCACCCCCGAAGTACAGCTCAGGGTCCAGCTGTTGGGTGCTCCCGGCATAGTCCCTGGGGGCAGCTCATGGCCACGCTAACACACTTTTAGGCCTGGAGGAGGGAGATTGATCTCAGCAGAGTTTGCAGGCTGGCCCTGTACAGGGGATGGGAACTCCAAGGAGACTGAAGAGCCCCTAGTCCAGGCCACATCTGTACCTGGCTCATAAGATCTTCCCCATACACTATGGTGCCCACCTTGACAACTGCCAGGCATCAGGGACTGTTCTGCCTCAGCCCTTCCCCTCCTGATGCTGCAAACAGCCCATCCGTGACACTAAGCACAAGGGACCAGGGGTAGTCCAGGGATCACTTACCCAGCCAGGGCTTCAGGAACCCGTAGAACAGGGGGTCCTTGGGGGTAACAGCAAGAGCAGAGAGCAGAGGGGGTAAGACATGGGGTTCATGCTCAGACACAGACAGCACAGCAAGACATAGGTGGGCATGACTCCAGGGTTAGCCCTTGCATGCACACAGCCTGGCAGGGTCAGAGATGGTCTCTCTTAGGTGGAGGGCAGAGTTCACATGTCAGAATTAGTGAGTGCAGGATGGGGCTGGGCTGGTGGGAGCTCTTCATGTCACCATCCAATGGCCTATGAGGGACACCAGGATGCAGTTCCCAGGAAGGCTGCTCAGAGTGGCGGCTGCCGCACAGTCTGAGAAGCAGACACAGGAACCAACCTGCTGTGTTCAATGAAGGCGCTTGAACCACCTCCGGTGGCAGGCTGTTCCAGACCTTGGGGGCTCGGACAGTAAAGAAGTTCTTCCTTATGTCCAGCCTGAAACGATCTTGAAGTAGTTTGTGACCATTCGACCTCGTCATCCCTTGGGGCGCTCTGGTGAACAAACGTTCCCCCAGATGCTGGTGGTCACCCCTGATAAACTTGTAGGTGGCCATCAGATCACCCCTGAGCCTGCGCTTTTTCAGGCTAAAGAGCCCCAGGGCTCTCAGCCTGTCATCGTAGGGTCTGCTTCCCTGACCTCTGATCATGCGCGTGGCTCTTCTCTGGACTCTCTCAAGCTTCTCCACATCCTTTTTGAATTGTGGAGCCCAAAACTGGACACAGTACTCCAGCTGCGGCCTCACTAAGGCCGAGTACAGGGGGAGAATGACGTCCCGGGATTTGCTTGAGAAGCATCTATGGATGCAAGCCAGCGTTTTGGTCGCTTTACTAGCCGCCGCATCGCATTGCAGGCTCATGTTCATCTTGTGGTCAATGATGACCCCCAAGTCTCTTTCTTCCATAGTGCTAGCCAACATAGCACTGCCGAGCCTATAAGGATGCTGCGGGTTTTTTTTCCCAAGGTGGAGAACCTTGCATTTATCGGCGTTGAACACCATCAGATTCTCGTCCGCCCACTTGCTGAGCCTGTCCAGGTCAGCCTGGATAACCTGCCTGTCTTCTGGTGTGGATGCTTTGCCCCAAAGTTTGGTGTCATCGGCGAACTTGGCCAGTTCTGATCGCTTCTGACTCCAGTGTCCACATCATTAATGAAGATGTTGAACAGTATGGGTCCAAGGACAGAGCCTTGGGGGACCCCACTGGTCACAGGACACCACGATGAGTGACTTCCATCGATTACTACCCTCTGGGTCCGACCCCGGAGCCAATTTTCCAGCCAGTGGATCGTGGAGGACCCAAGGCGACAATTGGCCAGTTTCTCCAAGAGGCGATCATGGGACACCAGATCGAAGGCTTTTTTGAAGTCAAGATATATGACATCAATCTCTTCTCCCTTGTCCAGGTGATAGGTCACCTGGTCGTAGAAGGAAATGAGATTGGTCAAGCAAGACCTACCCGCAACAAACCCGTGCTGGCTATCCCTTAAGATGTTGGCGTCGGCCAGTCCATTAAGGATGGCCTCTTTAATAAACTTTTCTAAGATCTTCCCCGGGATAGAAGTCAGGCTGATGGGCCTATAGTTAGCCGGATCCACTTTCCTCCCTTTCTTGAAGATAGGCACCACATTGGCCTTCTTCCAGTCTTCGGGCACTACACCAGAGCGCCAAGAGTTTTCAAAGATCCGTGCTAGAGGCTGGGCTATGATGCTCGCCAGCTCCTTGAGTACCCTGGGGTGAAGATTGTCAGGGCTGGCTGACTTGAAGGTATCCAGCTCCTCAAGATATTCCTTCACGAAGTCAGCATCAATGGAGGGCAGGGGATCACCCTCACCCGGACTTCCCTGTCCTGTAGCGGGCATGGGCGTCCCATGGGACTGATGAAAGACCGATGAAAAGTACCTATTTAATAGGTTGGCTTTTTCCTGGGCATCAGTTGTCAGTTGCCCCATCTGGTTCAGTTTTCATTTTTTTGCTTCAGGCTCCGGCTCCCCACATATCTGAAAAAGGACTTTTTATTGTCCTTGATGCTCAAAGCTAGTTGGAGTTCAGTTGCAGCCTTGGCTTTCCTGGTCTGCTCCCTGCAGGACCGGACCAGCGCAGAATAATCCTCCTTGGAGGTGACTCCCATCCTCCACCCTTTGTAGGCCTTTCTTTTTAGCCTCAGGAGGTCTGCTAGGTCCCTGGAGAGCCAGGGGGGCTGCTGTGCCCTCTTGCTGCCTTTCCTCCGAGATGGAATAGACTTAGTTTGTGCATTGAGGATCGCTCCCTTGAGGAGCAACCACTCTTCTTGAACTCCCCTCTCCCCATGGTCATGGTCCCTTAGGGCCTCACTGACAAGCCTCCTGAGCTTGTCAAAGTTGGCTTTCCTGAAGTCAAGGACTTCCGTGTTGCTGGGAGGCAGCATACAGGGACCACAGTGCTGGTGCTACACAAAGGAGAACAACACAAGTCTCCAAAGAAACCAGCCTCTGTGTGCTGCCCCACGGCAGGTCACCCAGGCTCTGCCTCTGCCTGCTGCCCCATCTATGCTCGGCACTCCCCCTTCAGTGGCTGGAGGGGACTGCACTGCCCAACACCAGCCCATGCTTTGCGTCCTCCCCTTGCTGTTCTCAGAAGCCCCAGGGTGGTGCTGCTGGAACACAGCTCAACTCCCTTCCATGCAGCAGAACTAAGGCCAGGGGAGCTGTAGGACACAGGGCTCTAGCTGCCCCTGTGCAGGTCTGAGGAACCCCAGTTCCTGCTAGAGTTCCACACAGGAAGCAGCTAGTCCATGTTTTTTATGCCCAAGATGGGGGTTGTAAGGGAGGAAGCAGTGCCCACCTCTGGGCTCACTGCCCACAGCCCCCTGAGGTGTTTGTCCTGCTTCCACCTTCCAAGCACAGTAGCTCCTTGCCCAGCTTCCACAAGCCTGGTGGGAGCAGGGAGCAGTCTGGATGCACCTGGATCAGAATGGCAGGGCCTGGCTGGGTGGGACCGTAAAGCATCCAATAACACAATGACTTAAAAGTCCAAGAGGACACTGCGGGGCAAGGAGATGGCACAAATTACAGTGCTAGGGAAACCCTGGTGTCTCCAGGGGAGATACAGCATGGAGAGGCATTGCGGACTTGTTCTTCCTTCCTGCCACCAAGCAGGGACAGGGAAGGACCCAGGCCCTTGCTTCACTCAGGGCAAACTGATGCCAACTTAGTATGAAACAAGAGATCTGAGAAAAACCCAGAGAAATGGGCACAGGCGGTGGGAGAAAATATTATTTGGGGGGCTGAGAAGTGCACGGTGAGGGCGCTAGGCATGGGGCTGCGACAGTGGGGCATGGCAGTGGTGCTGGAGCAGTGGAGCTGCATGGAGCTGAGCACCTGTGGGGCCCTGGCCTGGCTACTTGTCGAGTGGCACCAGGCACTACGGGACAGCGGTGCTGCAGTGCTGTGCTGTCGCAAGCCACTGCAAAATTAGTTTGGGGGGACTAAGCCCTGTTAACCCAGGCCTTCTGCCACCTGTGGAGATGGGGCCCAGCTAAGACAGACAGAGTCAAAAGGGAGGAAGGGTTCTGGGGAGTGAGGCCACTGATAGAGACCAGCATGTGACTTTTACAGCAAAGCTTGGCCAAAGCCTTGGGAAGCAGGCTGCTGGGGTCAGGCCCCATGGTCCCCCACAGAAGCCAGCATACCTGAGGCCATAGTGAGTGGCTTGAAGTAATCAGGATGCACCAGAGTCAGGAGTGGAAGGAAAGGCCCGGTCCATGACAAAAAGGCGTAAGGGACACCAGCTGGGACACCAGGACCATTGTCTTCTCACTGGACTCAAACTGAAGGAGGGACAGGGCAGTCAGTGATGGACCAGCCACCCCACATGGGGCACCAGATCATACAACAGGTGAGGCAGTCTGGCACTGCCCGAGGGGAGCAGCCCCTTCCCATGCAGCACCACATGAAGGATTGCAGCAGAGACAGGCAGAAAAGACCCTGAATTCAAAGAGCTGGAGACACTCATCTGCTATCTGCCCACTTTGAGATCCCCAAGCAGACCTGTCTCCCTTTCATGCATCAGGTTGCCTCTTGTTTGGCAGCCAGGTCACACTGGCCAAACACCGCCTGCTTGCTCCTTCGGATCCTGGTCCTCAGCCAAGCAAGTGGACTGAGAAACCAACTCTTTCCACCTCAGAGCCCCTGGGAAACAGCCCTACACCCACTGCTACTGCGAAGAAGCTGCTGCATTTGAGCCCACTCCAGCAGAGGAAGAAGATCAGAGTGAAGGGGAAGAGGAAGGGGAGAGGCACAAACTGGGAGCTTATAACCAGCATGGAGCAACAGGATTAGGCCCAACCCAAGCATCAGGAACTTCACCCGAGTCAGAGTGAAAGTACAATAGAGTAGCTGATGAAATATAACACTAAGCAGTGCAAAGCGATGCACGGCAAAAAAACCCCATTCCTCCTTAGGCAACCAGCACAGGACATAAAAAGCAGAAAAAAGGGATTCTACAAATCAGTCAGAAGTAAGGGGAAGACTAAGGAAACTCTAGGAAATCATACACTGAAGTCCATCTATTAACAGATGATGCAAAAAGGCAGATTTAATGCCTTTTTACTTCAGTCCTCATGAAAAAGATCAGCTATGAGTGAAATCTCTTGGTTCCAGGGTGCTCAAGGGATGTAGAGGCAGGAGACACTGACATCCTCTGCTCCTCCTTGTCTCTCACCCTGGGGAAGAGGAGCAGCACTGATAGCTCCACTCCCAACCTCTATGAGGAGGCAGGAAAGAGGAGAGGAGCTGCAGTCTCCAGTAGCATGCCCTGGCTTGAGAGCAGATGGCCACATGGAGCCATTGTGATCCTGAACCACTCCGCCAGGGGTGTGCCACAGCAGCTGCATGTATGTCCCACTGCTAAAATTCTACCATTTTGAAATGTCTCCAAGCACATTACAATTGGAAAGGTTTCAGATGTTAGCTTGGTCTGCACTTGAAGAGTGCTCAAAGAACTGGCAGAGATAATTTTAGAGTGGATGTGATAT